ACATATATTAAAATCACTTATTATTTCTAAAAGTTTTTTTTTCTCTAGTTGTAACTAAAATGATATTCCAGTCAACAATCATCAATATTGAGCGTGTAATTTTACGAGTTTTGCAGCTTACAACAAGCCTTTTATCGACCAATCACCGCTATTCGTTTGAGACAACTGTGTTTGAAGGCCCTATTTGTTATCAATCCAAATGAAGATTTGAAAAATAATTAGCCAAGAGCCCATTCACCCTCCTCATTTTACTTGTGAAGATTGACATAATCAAATAAAGGATCAATTTTTTAAATTTGACAGAATCTTGTGTCCATTTTGCCAAACACGGTCTTAGACCATTATAGTTTTGCAATATTTCCGTTGCAATTTAATTCAGGGATTCCCATACACAAAAAACACTTTTTGTAGGAATCAAACGATCACGGGTAGTCGAGAACAAACTTACATTGAGGTCAGCAAGATAATTGGTTATTTGGTTTTAAAATAGGGCAATAATTTCAATCCAACGGGCTCTGATAGTTAAACGAGAGGTGTGTAATAAGTCGGTTTAAAATGGAGTATATTTTCTGGTGGCATTGTAGTAATTGTGGGGTTGTGTTCAAACTTTGCTATTCTAGCTTTAAAACATAACACAGCCACCACTCTACCATTAACACCACCGCTACGAGCAAATATTAAATTTTGCAAATTTCCCTTACCATTTATGCCAGAACTTAACAAAAAGTGGGGATCAAAAATTTTCTGGATGTGTTACAACTAATAAAAATGTCACCAACCATCAGCCAAATTTAGTCGTTTGCAACAAAAGCCTTTCTACAACGGCAATTTCACGCCCCATTTGCCACTTACCGTCTGAAGTCTCCAACCTCTGGAACTCACACATACATTTATCGTAAAATAGCCTATAACTGGCTAGATAAAACCTGAATCTATCGCCTACCCCCAGTAGCACAACAAAAAACCTAACACGGTATAACTTTACTATGATTTTCCCAGTTTCTGGAACAAGACTGCTTAACAGTTAATTTTTTTCCTAGTTTCTTCAAATTTCTTCCAACCCATTGTGCCCATTCTCGTTTGTCCAATAAAGACATTAGTTCCATTTACGGAATTTTTGGGAACAATGAAAGAACCAACGTGCAAATAACAACAACAGGCATTTGCATTGAGTCAGGCACCACACCAAGGGAAAATTGTAGCTTAGCTTCAATGTGTGTGCTTACTTGTGTTTTATTACTAGATTCGTTAAGCTTCTTGCAAACCATTGTGTTCAATCTCGTTTGTCCAATAAAGATATATAGTCCTTTTACATAATGTCAAAAACAATGAAACACCCAGTGTGCCTAGACGATGTAATTTACGACAACACAACGGTAATGCACTCGATAGGTGACTTTGAGCAGCGATCTTGCGTTGCATGTCACAATCGTATATCAACAGGACACCGTAATCGGAATGTCCATTCTGTTACCAATTGTTAGCAGGATTGCTAGCTTGACATGCTATACTATGACTTAAACAGAGTAATGCAACAAACAGATAGTCGTATTTATTCGTTAGGAACTTGAAGAGCGCCATCTTCCCATCTGTTGAAACTTATTATAAACTATTCGCGGAAATGTTTTGTAATAGTAGCTATCTTTCATGTTCACTTGCATGTGGTTAAAATCTCTGCCTTTTTGACTTGGAACAACACCTTTCTGTCATTTTTTTTCACACCGATGGGATTGAGGACAACACAAAAAATTCTTACAAAATTGAGTGGTATAATTTTCATTTTCGAATTTTTTGATGCTTTTAATTCTAAAAAGACGGTCGAACGGTACACAAGTGGTCGTTTAGTTCGCAGGTGGATGATTTTTTTAAACTATAGATGTTATTTTATGCCCAAATCACTAAAGCAACTTACACATTTGATGATGAAATAAATGTATGACGCAAAAATATCACTATCATACTTGTTTAGAATGGAGAACTACGACTAAGTAAGCAACTGTGTACTAAAATAACGGGTACAGGACTGGGATGACAACCATCCTAAATTGAGAAACCATAAAAAACAAAAAAGAAAGCTGCACTTCAACCCCAGGAGGAATCAAAACCCCAGGCAAAAAGAGCCGCCGTTACTGCAAGGTTTTTATCTAAAGTACTCTATGAAGCCAAAAAAACAAAAAATGAACACTAGCGAAAAGAATACCCTGACCAACTCCATAACAAACGACTGAAGTGCATTCAGGCACTTTCTGATTTGAAGTGCCAAATTGAAGCCTTCAAGCATTTTCTCACGTGCAGAGTATAGACTAAAAGGCAATCCGAATTTTGGGAAGGTTAAAAAGAAGACGAACGGACATTACCTAATAAAGTCAGGCGACAGTATTATAAAAACCCATTTTAAGGAATCACTGCGGTACCAAACCTCAAAGATGAGCAAGACGATCTAGCTGCTTTGAGTGATAAAATGGAGCGTCTTAAGCTAAAGAGTAGGAAAAGATAGCGGAAGTTAAAAGCGGCTGTCGAGCAGCTTGCAACTGCCGAGAGGAAAAATCGGATCGTCTAGTCGTGCAAAACAGAGCTTGAAAGGAAACTAGATAATTTGACAAAAGTTAAAAAACGGATTTTTTTGGGCTCTTGTTCTACCTCCCCCCCACCTCACAAAAGCTTCCTTTTTATGGTAAAACGAGGAATTTTACAATGTTGAACATGAGGACCAGTTAGTTAGCATACCCATTCTTGTAACATTCGGACAATGTGAACCAAATTTCATTGGGGGGAACGAAAAAGAGGCTTTTTTTATTCCAGTTTTAATGTGTGACATTTTAGCGTTTTTATATATTTCTTTCTATTCATTTTAACCTTAAAAACTTGTAAAAGTGCCGATGGAAAAACTTACTATCTTGAGGAAGGGGATGCGCTGTAGTGTTGGACTACACTTTAAATATCGCTATTGCTATAATTGCCTACAAAATAAGAGCGGACTCTTTTATTCGCATTAAATAAGAGACAGAATGTCTCACTGCCTAACTTTATGTCTCACTGCCCTGAAAAGCAGATAATACGGCGATGCTTTCATTCTTTTTTTAATGAATTTTATGAGATATTGACTTTTAAATTAAAAAATCGCAGGTGCAAATTGTGTGAGTCCCCGGGATGAAAGTATGATTGATTTTTGATTGCTAAAATTAACTTAAGAAACTATTGAAAAAGCTCCTGATGAGAGAGGGAAATCCCTGGGGGAATGATTTAATGATAAGAAAAGGCGGATTATAGCAAGGCCTGAGTCAGGAAAAAATCTCCGGCAAATTTTCGTTATTCGCTGGCTCTCAATTCTTTTTTCATATAAATTTTACTCTATTATTTTTTCTGTAACATTCGTGTATCTTATCCTTATTTAAAATAAACAAATTGCGAAGTTTTCCACTGAAAATCAAATGTGAATTTGGCAATTTCATCGATTAAATGAAAAAATTTAGACAAAATAATTACAAGTAAACCCGGCAAGCGGCAAGTAGAACTAGAAATATCCAGCGAACAAGGCAGAGTAGACGAGGCGAAAAAGATCATCACACTAACAGTATTGGCTAAATGAGGTTTCAGTTAGTAAACTAACTAAGAAATAGGTTTGATAAATAAGATAGCAACCCAATTTGCTAGGGAAATAAGATTAAGTTGTTGAACCTTTTGAATCTTCATTCTCAAACTAACCTAGCATTGTCGAAACAACTCGATGATAAACGGTACGTGAGACTTAGATTTGATTACTAAAAGAAACAAGAATCGCTATATGATAAGTTTCCTAATGTCTTTTAGTAAAGGTGGCGGAAAAAAAAACAAACTTGTCCGTCTCCTTTTTCCTACTGCCCTCGTAAAACTGCAAATTAAAATATCTAATAGTCGTTTGTAAGGGCAAGTTGCAGCAAATAAATATTGTTTTAAAGTCTCCCGGGCTGAGGTTTTCGACTCATGGTTCGACCACACGGTCGAACGGAGTCAGATTTTTGTCGCAAATTAAGACGGTCGAACGAACACTATAGTCGAACAAAGTCGAATCATGGGTCAAACAGGGTGGAATCATGAGTCGAACAGGGTCGATAGAGTCGAACAGGGTCGAATCATGTGTCGAACAGGGTCGATTCATGAGTCAAACAGGGTCGAATCATGAGTCGAACAGGGTCGAATCATGAGTCGAACAGGGTCGAATCCTGAGTCGAACAGGGTCGAATCAGTCAAATGATGTCCGAGTTTCGTTGTAAATCAGGACTCTTCGGTAAAGTCAAACAAAGTCGAACAATGTCCGGTAAAGTCGAACAAAGTCAAACAAATTCGAACAATGTCCGGTAAAGTCGAACAAAGTCGAGCAAAGTCGAATAAAGTCGGAAAAGGTCCGTTAAAGTCGAAAAAAGTCGAAAACGGACATCTTTCGACTCAAAAAGTCAAAATAGGATATCGTTCGACTGAAAAATTTGAAAACGGACATCGTTCGACTCAAAAAGTCGAAATAGGATATCGTTCGACTGAAAAATTTGAAAACGGACATCTTTCGACTCAAAAAGTCGAAATAGGATATCGTTCGACTGAAAAATTTGAAAACGGACATCTTTCGACCATTTCGCTCGAATCATGAGTCGAGCACCTCAGCCCGGGCTGTTCATTTTCTACACATTACACGCTTAATTATAATCTAGAGCAGAAAAACTCACGCTAAATGATAGGTAGACAAAATTATTGCTTTAAGAAAAAAAGGAGATGGGGCAGAAAAATAACCTCAGAAACAGTTATCTGCAAATAAGGCGACAGACATTAAATCGACAACCACCTTTGAAGGCGGACTTTAAGATGACGCTTCGCGCAATTCTCACACTTTGTAGCTCTGAGGAATATAAACCGCTGAAAATTGAACTTCTCATTTTACATATAATATCGCTTATTTGTCGTCTTAATGTCTTGCCGTCTTAATGGTCTATCGTCTTATTTACCTAGCACCCATAAAAACAACTTACATTGACTGATTCCACATTTGTGGACATTAGAGTCCACTCGGCGTCTTCCACGTAGTGACTCAGATCTATCTGGTCCATGAGACTCTGCAGGGACACCTTGTTCACGCCCTGACTCCACGACCCGAACACGATGTCACACTCCTGAGTGTCGAACGGGAACTCCCCAATGTCTATTTCACAGATGGTGTCCACCACTGAAGGAGTTTCAAGACGAACCTGTGGAAAATAGCAAATTGAGAGGGATGTCTTTAACTGTCTTGTTTTGCAAAAGGGGTAGATTCTTTACTAGGTACAAAATAAACATATGCATAACGATTGAATTATTTCTTTAAAGGGGTGACAATTCGTTATACAGTACCCAAGGGGGGGGGGATAGTTAAAATGATCCTTTATGAACACTTTGCTCTTCGTTATTATAAATCCCTCAGCAAATCCTCGCCCCCTTGCCGTTCCAGAATATAAAACTTTTTTGTTGTGGGATATAATTTTTTGCTTGATGAAGGGATGGGGCTGATTTTATTGGGAAAGCAGCCACAGACCATGATCCATACTCCTTTCTATTTTTTTTTCCAAACAATGATCCATGGTCGTTGTTTGAGGGCGAGGCGTAGAGGCAACGCTACCTAGTCCAGAAGAGTTCGAAGCTGCATATACTTAATTAGGGACACAACCGCGTTTTTCTTTAATAAACGGAACAGCTCATATGCAGGTTCTAGCCCTTTTGGGTAAGTTTGTATGTTGCTTTGACTTTGGGCTTTTTAAATTGTAATGCCCACTTTGAGCCCCCTATAAATTCTGTTTGGGTCAACCTTAATGGGTTGGAAAAAATATAACTGCCCTATGTCAGTTTTTTTCACACTTTTAATTGGAGGCAGGATTGGGTCAGCGGGACAATGAAATTAAAATCTGGAGCTCCCTAGAACCAAAAAGGATCGTTGTTTTTTTAGCTCTTTTATTGTTTTTAAATTTCAAAAAAAAGTGCAGACCAAAAATTGATTTTTCTAACCTTTTCTGAATTTTTCTAACCTTTTCACCCCGGCCTGTTTTTGATTCACAACAGTAAGGTAATCTTATAAGCCTAATGATACTATCAATTTTTGTCCAAACTTAAAAAAAGAAGTGAAAAAAGTCTTTTTTTCCTACAAGGGATCTCGAAAAAATTATTGATTTATAAAATCGATTTTGTATAAGCTCAGTTTCGTATATTTCAATTAGAAATCTACTCACTTCTCCCTTGTAGTTTACATTGGCAGGGATGATGTTGGCTTTGATGTTGTTGGACTGGGAGGATCCGACGTAGACCTAGAACCAAGTTGCAACCAAAGATTATTGAAATGAGAAAGTCCAGACTTTCGCGACAAATTTTTGGCAGGTCCAGAAATTCGCGACCGAAATTAGGAATGTCCAATTTGGGTCTCAATCCGGATGCGGCGCGACCCGCAAAGTCTGGACATGAGTCTGGGACTCGACCCGGGTGATAAAAGGTGAAGCTGTAGTGTTTTGAGGAGTGGGAGGGGGTTGAATATGGAGTAGGTACAATCAGGCGCGGATCTAGGAATTTCTCGAGAGGGGGGCAGGTTTTCAAAAAACTTTTGAAAATTTTGTCAACTTTTTTTTAGGTCGACCAATTTGATATTCTGAGCTCTCCCAAACCACTACAAGGATCCAAATTTAACCAACTGGGTTGCAGTCAAATTTGTGAAAAAGCCAAAAAGGCGTTTCAGGCACTTTTTGGAAAATTTCGACCAAAAAATCGCGTTTTTTCGGCGCGCGCTCCACCCTCAAAATTAGTAATTGGCGTCAAAGACGCCTTTAGAAAAATTTTAAGGTCAGTCAGCCAAAAATGGATATGTCAAAATAGTATAAGGGGGGACCCTTTGGGTCGGCTGGGGGTCGAATCCTTGAGGAGGAGCGTCCCCCCCCCAATCCGCTACTGGGTACAATGGCGCTCTCACAGTCAGTAAAATTCTTGGCGTGGTTAGTATTACTTTTTGACTACTTCTATTTCTCAAAATTTTGACAGAGGTCACCTGATTTTTTTCAAAGTATATTTTGGGAAGCTTCAAAAGATATCCGGACTTTTTCTTATATCTTGACTGTTAAAACCTTCAAAAACTGCACATAAATGATATTTTGATCGTTTTTTAGAACACTCGCTTGCAGAGCAGATGTTTTTTTTCCAAAATAGGGTTTTTATGACAATTTAGGGGAGCTCGGAAAATCAAATTGGTCGACACCTAAAAAAATTGTCGACAAAATTTTTTTCGAAAAACTGCCCCACTACGCCGATTACCCCGACCCATGCCCCACCCCCACCCCGAGCCCCCCAACACCCCTAAACCCTCCCCCAGCCCCGCAATGAATGCTGTGCACGCCACTGCACATCACAGTCCATCAGTTTTAGCTACCTGATTAAGTATGACTAGATCTGGGATCCAGACTAGTGGTCGCATCAGGGAAGTTTCAGTGATGTTGTTGTAGAGGGAGGGGTCCCAGGAGAGGTAGAAGTCCTCCCACTGCCACACCTCAGACACCGACACCGACAGCTTCTGACCCTAGACACACACAATAAAATATTGAGCACTCGTTTCGTTTGTGTATGTTCCAATAACCTCAGAGTGGGAAGGAAAACTTTGGATTCGGGAGTGATTTTTTTTCTATCGCAAAATCAGGTACCAAAAGTAAATGTCAGACGGGGTCGACTGATATATAATATTGAAGACCTTTAAGTCCGGGTAAGTCCTTCCAGCGTTGATTCAATCAATATTTAGATGGAACTAAAAAACGATTTGAAAATTGTCAATCGAATATGGGGGGACGATGATGATTAATTTTAGCCTCAGGTTGTTGCGCTAAACTTTTGAAAGCTGATAAATTATTGGAAGTTTCTTTTGAGTTAGCTTTTAGTCCCTCCACCATACGCACCAACATTTACGCTACTAAATGAGCAGTTAATTTTTGTTTAATATCTGAAACCAATTTAGAAAAGCTATTGTTTTTTTAAATCAAAATATGGTGGTGGAAGACCTGAGACATGCATAAACGTGCGTTTCAGAACTTCAAGGCTCTTTTTCCTTCGTCCGCCCAGCTGCAATTTTAGTTTTCCTGTTCACATGTTCCGGTTGTTTCAAAAACTGGCATGCGAACTAATTTAGGCCATGACAAATAGATTTGGTCTTTTCATTTAAACTTTATAAAACCCCTCGCTACTCTATATAATTAATACTAATCTGAGGTGAGGGGGAGGGTGAAGAGCAAACTTCAATTACACTTATTAAACTTTCAATATCTGCTTCAACAACTTCACAAATTATAACGGGTTGTTTGGTCTTTTTGCTCATTCGTAGGTAATCGAAAAAAAATATTCATATTCATTCGACTGAAAAATATCATACAAAAGCGCTTCAAATCATTCAGTTAGTTTCAAAGTGATATTTAAAACTGGCCATATAGTCACATGCGGCCCCGTATTTAATCTCTTAGGTCATTTTACCTATCTTAAGTATACTTTTTCTGACTAAATCATGACTAAATCATAACATTTAAGTTTTTCTGCCTGAAATGAAACAAGACTGCTCGTGTCAGGGCAAAACTCTGAAGGTTCCGACAGCCCTCTAATTGGTCTCGAATAGTTTATGGCAAATTAAATATTGACAAAACTAGGAACTTTTGGCTGATATTTTTTGATGTTACAATTTGAGTCGTGTATGGAAATTTTAAAAAAAAAACATTAGCTGCCTCAGGTCAATTTGTGGCGATTCGGTAGTGCGGGATAACTCGCCAAGCGTAAAGAATTAAACGAACCGTTTTGACCCACTCGTCGCAGGGTACCATAGCTGAGTGCATACGCGACTGGGACATTGCAGATCAAGAGATCGATCCCTCGAGCAACCTATATTTTGAAAAAATGGTCTGAATAAAAAACACCGCGAGCATATATATTCCTCACTTTCTTTGAAAGTCGGAACATCAAGGTTGCTTGTACCAGGACGACGTTTTGAATATTCCGACTGCCCTTTAGCGTCTATGCAATGGTACTCAATTTTCAAATTGATCAAATTTTCTAATAATATATGTACCGGTCAAATGTACAGAAGAAAACATGTACTGGTTGTCTGAGTACGAGAGTAACAGTCAAAGAAGCCACCAAATCTTACAAAAAACTACTAGTTCGAAATACAACTTTTTTCAATGTCATTGCTTCAGAAATTTCAGTAGCATTGAATATAGGGGGCCTGGCTCTTTTTTCATTTACCTCACAGCCTTTCGATTTTATTTTATTTTATCAAAGTTGGTATACAAGTTTTTATGGCTGAATGCGTCATGTTACCATGAAAAGTATGAAAAAAAAATAGTTCACAATTTTTAGTTTGTTCAGCATGCAAAAGTTCTTTGCTCTATGGCAAGGCTAAAATAGGTGAAAAATTATATGCGGAAATCAAAATTGAAAATCAAATGCGGAAATCCAAATTGAACTTCAAATGTTGAAAAGAGTCGGGGGACTGAAATAAAATTAAAAATTCAATTAAATTAGTCAGTAAAAAAAACTCAGGTGTCAAATTTGCTTGTGGGACTCGTATTCAGATGCCTTGATAAGGGAGTGCGGTCTGTATTTAGACAACCACGTATTCACACTGTCAGTAAGCAGACAAATACCATATTAACCAATCAGAATTGAGATGAGAAAGCAAGTTTACGAATAAAAAAATTATTAATTATTCATTTCTTCCTTGTCTCGATTCTGATTGGTTAATACAGTAATTGTCTGCTTACTGACGAGTCTGAATAGGCGGTTGTCTGAATACTGCTACGTAACCCTTGATAAGTAAAATTACCGTCGCACGATTAATAAATAACTTCGGTAACACATACAATTTTTGTTATATTTGGAGAAGAGTTTTTTAGTGCCGAGAAAAAATAAGTCCGACAATTTCGCTTCCCAGTAAACTTACCTCTCGTGAAGTCGATGAGAAAACAAAGGGATGTTGTTGTTAGTCTAAGTTTTTCTCTCTTACAAACATCTCAGAATTTAAGAATGATTTTACAAAAACTTAAATTGAAAATTTCAGATTGCTTTCTAAATATATTTAATGTATTTTAATTATATATTTTCTTAAAAGAAGACCAAAGTTCGGATAAAAACTTTGCGCATTCCCTGAAATCTAGCTTATAGCGCTTTGTTTGCAAAACATTTGTTTCCGATCAAAGAAAATCACTTTAACCTTGGAATCGAGTTGGACGATGCTGTTGAGAATCAACAAGTGTTTAATGTTCACAACTCCGTTCTTGTCACTCGTCGGAACAACACTCGGGTCGTAATGAGTCATAAGATCCGACACAAGTCGGTGCATATCCGAAAGATGTCTCATCTTGTCGTCGGATGTGCTCCGAACACGACTCGGGAATGTATATCGAGCTGATGATGTCGACCTTGATTTCGTATGCACACACGATAGCTGGTAGTAAAAGGTCATCAATAAAAATATTTTCATTTCTAATCTTGAGACTCGTATCTCCACTCGTTTCAATTACCAAAAAATAAAGCAATTTTTTTTTACAATTTTTGAAAAGTCTTAATCAAAATAACATACTGTTTTGAAAAGTTTCAATCAAAATATCAAATATGAGCCGTAATGTAGATAGTGAATAGTTTAAATACAAAGAGATAATTGGTTTTCAAATTGATTTATGAAGTGAAGTTTACGGCTCAAAACGTCAAAATATTCACCGTTGAGCAGCTAAGTAAGTGTTTTTTCTATCATTGGTTTTGTTTTGCACCGCTGGTAATAAAATAGTCGGTTCATTGAATACTCCGTAAACATACCATTTCTAAGAGTAGACAAAATAGCCAGTCAAAAGTGCTTGAAATATGAATAAAAAACCTCTGTCTTTTCTCCAAATGTTTGAAAGATAAAAACACGTATTATCTTCTTTTCTGTTGTTTCTGCTGAATTTTGTTTTGGGCCGCAAGAATGATGAATTGCCAACTTTTAGATCCTCGGCAATAAAGAAATCAAAATTCAATAGAGATTAGAAGCAAATGTAATTTTGAAAGAAGCAAACATAATTGATTTCAAAAACGCTCAAAGTTTGCGAAAATTGGCATGTTTGAAATGAATTGCGGTGTCCATTTTTCGACCACTTGATAGGTTCCCGGGTTGACCTCCATGCACCGAAAATGCTTATCATACAATTCCATACATCAAGTGTATGGAAAAATGCTTGTCATACAATTTTCATACAATTTCTAAAAATGGTTGAAAAAAGATATAAACTTAGTTATGTGGCTGTTTGATTCTAATAAAACAGCCTGGTAAAAAAAACCGAGGTTTTCGTTTTTGAAAAAAAAATGCTTATCATACAATTCCCATATATGGAAATTGTATGACTGGCATTTTTTTGATGGCGAAACAAAAATTTTTTAAGTAATTTTGAAAATTTGGCCCAAAAATTTTTTGTTTTTTTTTCAACCGCAAATCGAATTTCGTACGCAAACTAACATTTTTCAAAAAAAATTTTTTGCATGCAAAATTTAATTTTTTGTGTGCATAACGTAGTCCTGGTTACGATAATATTGGCTTTTATTTTCTTTTGACTTACTTTTTTTCTTCAAAAACGCTGAAAATTCCTATTTTTTTTGTACGGGTTGTTTATATATGCCGTGATCAATGTCTGATAATTTGAAAATTCAAAAAATTAGAAAAAAATCACCATTAAAATACTTTTGCCCAAAATTAAAAGTTTGTTACTTTTGTTATATCAATTGTGAAAGGCAGCCGAAACCAGGTCGTTGTCTATGCATTGTAAACGCAAGACCGTCCAACCTTTGGTCCTTTGAGTAACCAAGGTCTTTGTCACTTGTGTGCAGTTGCAAGCACAACCGAAAAAATTTTCAGAAACTAAATTAAGAAAGAAAAGCTCAAAAATTTTGGTTTATGGAAAAACACCTATCATACAATTTTCATTTATGGAAAAATGTTTATCATAGAGATTTAATACAATGTTCTGTACGTATGGCATTGTATGGAATTGTATGACAAGAAGTTTCTCATATATGGGAATTGTATGATAAGAAGTTTCGGTCATCCCGGGTTGTTTGTTTTCCAGTAGCGTAATTAGGGGGACAGGGGACGCCTACTCTCCACCTCTCAAGGATTCGAACCCCACACCGACCCACAGGATACTATTTGGATAGTTTTTGTTACTATTTAAGGGCTCTAAGGCATCCAAGTTCAACTGATCGACCCTAATTTTTCTAAGACTTCTTTGGCGCAATATATACTAAGTTAGAGGGGGAGCGCGCGTCGAAAAAAACACCATTTTGTAAATCAAAATTTTATAAAAAGTGCCTAAAAACAACTCCTTTTTGGCATGTTTTTTCCAAAAATTGGCTGCAGCATAGACAATTTGGTCCAAATTAGGTTTTTTTAGTGATTTAGGGGAGCTCATAAAATCAATTATGCCGTCCCTAAAAAGGAACGACAAAATTTTCGATTTTATTTTTGAAAAACCGCTATTTTTGAACGCAAAAGCCAGATCTGTAAAAACCCTTAAAATGAAAAAAGTTTTGATTATTTTTGAAGCAAGCCGGATACTAATCTCTTTGTTCTTCTTCCATTTTCAAAAGTATCAATTCTCCTCCACCAATCTTTGTAAAAGAGGGGGAACAAAAAAATCTCTTGTGAGCATCAAAAATATTAAAAGCGGCTTTCTTGCTTATAAAGACTTTTATAGATCTTGCTTAGCTAAAAAATGTTGAACACATTCATTTATGCCTAACTGATGATTTAGTTTTTTTTTTGGGGGGGGGGGGTGAAAATTCCTCAATCAAATCTTTCTCGCGTAAATTTCAACAAGAATGCTCGTATCAGGGCGAAGCCCTGAATGTTCCGGCTGCCTTTTAAGGTTTATTGAGCAGCAGTAATACATAAAAAAATTAAATGAAATAAAATAAAATGAAATTTTTTTTCTAAAATATGAATTTTTTTAATGAAAATCATCCCCCCACACGCCATATAAAGTACAAAAAGATAGATTTCGTTCCTTGTAACAAATCAATTATGGCAAATAAGCTTCGTTCAACCAATTTGGAACGATTTATAAGACGGATTAAATCTCGCTTACGCGTTAATAGCGCGAATTATATTGCGCGTTAATTGTCCCAAATTGGTCAAAATGGCAATCTTTAAACCCTCATAACTTTACGAAAACTGATCACTGGTAAAATATCTTTTCAAATTTAAGCTCAAGACAACAATACTTTTTGAATGACATATAAAATTCCGTCAAACATGGCTAGTTAAAAAGTCGAAATTTGTCTGAAGAAAAAAAACCCACCCCGAGCACAAATATTCCGTTACTTTCGTATCGAAAGTCGGAACAAAAACAATTAATTTCCGATATGCTGCAAAAAATTGAAAGTAAAAACTAGAGCAAAAAAGGATGGTGTAGTAAAACCTTTTTGTTCCGACTTTCGATACGAAAGTAACGGAATATTTCTGCTCGGGGTGGGTTTTTTTTTTTTCTTCAGACAAATTTCGACTTTTTAACTAGCCATTTTTGACGGAATTTTTTTTATATAATTCGAAAGCTATTGTTGTCCTGAGCTCAAATTTGAAAAGATATTTCACCTGTGATCATTTTTCGTAAAGTTATGGGGGTTTAAATATTGCCATTTTGGCCAATTTGGGACAATTAACGCGCGATAAATTTCGCGCTATTAACGCGTAAGCGAGATTTAATCCGTCTTAGAAATCGTTCCAAATTGGTTCAAGGAAGCTTATATGCCATAATTAATTTGTTAATAGGCGCAAAACCTGTCAATTTGTACTTAATATGACGTGTGGGGGGATGTTTTTACATAAAATCTCAAATTTTTTCAAAAAAATTTTTTAATTTTTTTTATTACTTTGAAATTTTTCATCTGATTAATGCTCCATAGACCTTAAAAAGCAGTCGGAACTTTCAGGGCTTCGCCCTGATACGAGCAGTCTTGTTTTCTTTTATATCATTGTATATCCTTGGTAAACCAAATTATACGCAGGCAAAAATTAATAAACAGGATTTTTTACCACATCCTTGGTATAGGGAGAGGATTGAAACTAAGCTCTAAGTTAAGCTTCAAAACCCTTGTTAAAAATAGGGTTGATGCTAAGCTTCATCTTAATTAGATAAGCTTCATGGTTAATGCAATTATCGAAACTGTTTGAATCTAATTTTTCTTCCTTTATTCTCCGCCGTATATTAGTTTGAACTGTTCATGAATTTACCCAACCCAAAAACTTTTCGAAATGTTTTTATTGGAATTCAGATGACAAATAAAAAGACATAATTCGATACGATACTGAAATTCTCGCGACATTTCAGTATTATGCTTGAAAAGATTTTAAATAAAAAAGCAATTAGCCATTCGTTTCAGTTTCATGTCCGAGCTGCAGTCACGAGATAGAAGTTAAAGGTACAAAGCTAGAAGTTACAATTTAAAAGTATTCGTTCCCAATCTAAGGATTTAAGCTAGGCACTCTTATAGGTTTCCCTACGCTTAAAAATGAACTAAACTTTTTATAAGTTTTCAAACAGAAAACAGGACCGCTCGTGTATCAGGGCAAAGCCCTTAATGTTCCGCCTGCCCCTTAATTCATATCGAATAGTTTTTGGGAAAAAAATATTGAAAAACTATAAATTTTGGAAAATAAAAAAATCAAGTGCAAAAATTTGGCCTTCTCAAGTTTGACAAAATTAATATGACCGAATAGCTAGCCTCAATTCTATTTGGAGCAATTTTTGCGAGCGGCATAAGTCACCATGCATAAATAAGTCGCATTACGCTTTCAGCATTATGGATAAAATCTTCAGTGCGCGCATAAAATAAAGCATTCATCCAGAGCATGGCCCTTTTCCAGTTTCCCACCCCCTTGTAAAACTACAATATAAAATTGTTTTAAAATTGAGCACATGGCAATCTGCATAATAAATATATTGAAAAAAATTAATCATATGTACACGCTAACACAATTTATTGCAGTTTAGAACACCAAAAGTTTTTTAAGGCTTTTGTAACTTAACCATCTGAATAAAACAGAGAAGGGACTGAAAAAGAGCCCATAGCAAGGCCAAATTGGCAGTTTGCAAACACCAAACTTTGCAAAAAAAGATAGGAGGCAAAATATTTTTTTAAATTGGGGAGTCGATATCTTCCATGGGGCATAAAATTTTGTTGTTGAAAACTATCTTTTCGAACGAAAAACTGTGCACTTTATCTACGCGGTAAACTGCCAAAATGTACATCAACAGTACAATCTCCCTTCCTAAGTGACCTACCGTTGAATATGTCTCCCCAAGCATTTAATAAATCCGAAATACGCAAATAAAATTAATTTTTTACATTTTTTACGGGATTGCATTTGTATGCTGTTCCTTACCTAGACTAATGTTTTAATTCAAATGCAAATTAAATTTAGGATCAGCTCCAAATTAGCTGATGAAAAATCATTCACGAACTTTTAAATCGACAAAAATGAAAAAAAAAAATCGTTTCATTTGTCTACTTTTTTCTCGTTTGCCAATAAAATTTCATTATAAACTGTGCTCTCAATTCAAGTCTACCGTTTTTTTTACACTTCTTTTGCCTTCATTTCCACTTAATCAAATTGGTTTTTGTTCCTTGAATCGAAATTATAATCATTATCATCTTAACAATGAATCATTTCAACAATGATTACAAGTTACAAAACTCGAGAAAAAAAGGAAAATTTTCAACAGAACGTTCCAAACCAAATTTTTTATCCAAAATAATTACCTTATTCTAAAAACGACAGTAAAAATAGGGGGGGTTTCGTAAATATCTGGTGGCTTGCATTTTGTCTGCCAAATTGGTCGATTTGGGATAAAAATTTCGCTGATAAATTCCAAATTTTGGTAAGCGAAGAAATGGTGCGGCAAAGAGACTTCTCATATTTAGACTAGCCAATTAATTTAAGTACTGCGTTTATTGACAAAAAAAACTAATCAATTTTTAGCTTTCATTGCGTCTATGGAGAGTAATTCACAAAATGAACAATATTTCAAATTTTTCACAGGAATATTTAAGAATTTTTTTAAATTCGAAAAACTACTTTTTTAAACACGCGAAATGTCTGTCGGAACATTCGAGGCGTTACCC